GATCTTTGTCAGGGTGAAAAAACAAGGCTCACCTCAGTGGAGATAAAAGATGGATTATTCCGGAGCCAGGTCTCTTACTTTGTCTCAGATGGTGGACATCTGAATGACTGCTCCTTATCATGATGTCCCCTTGAAAAGCTGTGTACCATTCTGTCTGAACCAGGAAGGGGGTATGGATAAGTCTATGGGATTTTTACTTCTGCTACTTGTGGCACTTGCCGAACACCAAGGAGTTACTCAGCCTCTCAAGCCTAGGGTTCCTCCCCCTGAATGGTGGTGATGCCGCTACACACTCTGTACCTGTTGAGAGGATTCAGTGAAATGATGCGTGCAAGCTCAATAAATGCCATCCGTGGCTATTATTAGCATTAGTGTAGGCAGCGTGAGAGTAAGAGCAAGGAGATAGTTAAATCTCAGCCCACTCTTGCTGGCTTTCGTGACTTGGCTCGTGATTCTCCAGGCTGAGAATAGTGCCTAGCATGTAGGTGACACTACATTGTATTACGGATTTGTGTCATTATTTTCAAATAATAGTACTAGAGAAATGATTTCTGGAACTGTCCTGCTTTAAAGAGATGTTGCAGGAAGTCTATGAGGTCTCAACTCTGCTTTGCAGTTTTCTATTATGACATAGGTAGGAACACACACATACAGACACACACAGAGGCACACACCCAGGACACATACTCTGCAGGAGACACACTGCCCTCCTCCCCACTCTTCGAAGGTGTAGCCTTATTTATCTGTCCACAGAAACCTTGAAAATGATACATTGTAATAACCGAACGTTAACCTGGCCCTGTGTGGAGGTTTATCTCTAAGTCTCTCATCTTACTTCTGTTTTAGTGTTGAGGCAATCAAGGCCAAGAACTAGGGAATGGCTTACCCAGCTAATACATGGCTTAGTTTTCTCTGGACATCTGTTTGGAGAATTTGATCATTGCCCCTGTTTCATTTCCTTTCTTAGATTTACTTATTTTATTTCATATGTGGGAGTGCTTGGCCTGCACGTATGTATGGTACCTACCGAGGTCAGAAAAGGGTATAGGATCAACCTGGAACTGCCATTACTGGTTTGTGAACTGCCATGTGAATGTTGGGAATTTCGAACCCCAGTCTTTTGGAAAAGCAGCAAGTGCTCTTAACTGCTGAGCCCTGCTCCAGCCCCTCACTTCATTTCCATCTTCTAAAATACTGCCTTTTTATTGTTTATTTTATTCATGAGTTTTTACTCATTATTTGTGTATGTGTGTGTGGGGGTGCACATGTGTGAAGGTCAGAGGACAGCGTTGTAGAGTCAGCTCTCCAGGATTCCTATGAGTTCTGAGGATTTAAGTCAGGTTATTAGGCTCGCACAACAAGCACTTTCCACCCTGAGCCATCTCTCTTGGCCCTTCTTTTGTTGTTCATTTATTTAGTTTTGTTTTTTTAATGGTGCTGAAGTTAGGGCCTGTGCCTGCTAAGAAACACTTCCACCATTGAGCTATATTTCTAGTATAAATAAAGGTGGGTGTGGTGGTGCACAGCTAGCTGTAAGATTCCAGCCTAAAAGGAAGATCTAAGAATGCAGGGCCATCCTTGGCTTCATGGTGTGTTTAAGGACAGCCTGGGCTACATGAAGCCTTTTAATAACATTTTAAAGAAATGTAAAACATAAAAGTACAGCTCTTTTACCACCTTCTCTGGGAAGCCTTTCCCAATTACCACCTTTGTATAAATTATGTTTTCCTTTGCCCGAGGGCCCTATCTGTAGCACTTAACTCCATAAGCCTTGGTAACAGATGGATGTAATCAATTACCCATTTATTGCCATGAGATTGTGTCACAGGGAAAGTGATGCCTTATTTGTTTTGGTAGCCTGGGTCTCTTCAAGCAAGAAAATGGCAGTAATGAATTCCTTTACCCATGCCCTTGAAGCAAAATTGTACAGTGGAAAAAAAGAAAGCATCTTCAACAAATGGTGCTGGCATAACTGGATGTCAACATGTAGAAAACTGCAGATAGATTCATATCTCTTGTCATGAAAAAAACTCAAGTCCAAATGACCAAAGACTTCAACATAAATTCAGTTACACTGAACCTGATAGAAGTGAAAGTAGGAAGTAGCCTTGAACATATTGACATAGGAGACCACTTCCTATACATAACACCATAGCACAGACACTGAGATCGACAATTAATAAATGGGACCTCCTGAAACTGAGAAGCTTCTGTATGGCAAAGGACATAGTAAATAAGACAAAAATGGCAGCCTACAGAATGGGAAAAGATCTTCACCAACCCCACATCTGACAGAGGGCTTATCTCCAAAACATATAAAGAACTTAAGAAACTAGGCATCAAAATACCAAATAATCCAATTAAAAAACGGGGCACATGCCAAACAGAATTCTCAACAGAAGAAACTCAAATGGCCAAAAACAATTTAAGGAATTGCTCAATATCCTTAGCCATCGAGGAAATGCAAATCAAAATGACTCTGAGATACCTGTCAGAATGGCTAAGATCAAAAACACTAGTGACCGCTTACGTTGGAGAGGATGTGGAGAAAGGGGAACACTCCTCCACTGCTGGTGGGAGTGCAAACTTATACAGCCGTTTTGGAAATCAGTATGGTGGTTTCTCAGAAAATTGGGACTCAATCTACCTAAGACCCAGCAATACCATTTTTGGTCATATACCCAAAGGATGCTTGTTCATACCACTATGCCCATTTTTTTTGTGGGGGTGGGAAGGTAGGGGGTGTTCAAGACCAGGCTGGCCTCAAATTCAGAGATCCACCTGCCTCTGCCTCCTGAGTGCTGGGATTAAAGGCGTGCACCACCACCTCCTGGTACCACTCTGCCCATTTTTATAAGATTTGAGGAGAGCCACCAAAGCCACAGAGAAACCCTGTCTCAAAACATACCCCCCCCAAAAAAATTCTGGGGATTGAACCTATAGCTTTGTACTTGTGAGACAAGCAATCTAACTGAGCTATATCCCTAACCTGGTGTTTCCACCACTACCACCAGGCTTTTTTGTTTGTTTGTTGTTGCTGTTTTGGTTGTTTTGAGACAGGGTTTCTCTGTGTAACCTTGGCTGTCCTGAAACTCACGCTGTAGACCAGGAGGGCCTGGAATTAAAGGTGTGTCACCACCTCCCATCCCAAGCCTAAACTTTTTGTTGTTGTTGTTGTTTGTTTTTGTTTTTCAAGACAGGGTTTTTCTGTGTAGCTTTAGAACCTTTTCTGGAACTAGTTCTTGTAACAAAGGGTGGTGGTGGCACACGCCTTTAATGACAGCACTCGGGAGGCAGAGGCAGGTAGATTTCTGTGAGTTTGAGGCCAGCCTGGTCTACAAAGCTACATAGAGAAACCCTGTCTCAAAAAACCAGACCAAACCAAAACAAAAAAGTTTCTACATAGAAACAAACAAAAAAGAAAAAAACATTGTATCACATGCATATACAGGTGCATAGGTGGACTTTCTGTGTGCTGCCATGAAATGCCCTTGCAAGTAAGGACATCACGAGATGTAGCTCCTTGCCCTTAAACCACAATCATTAGCTCAAATAAGCCTCTTTTCTTTCTTCTCTTCTTCCTCCTTCTGTACCTTAAAGCACAAACTAATTGCAGGAGTGCCACTAGAACAGAAACAGAGGGGATGGTTAGATTTTATTAAAGTTTTGCCAAGATTTGCTCATCTTTTCAGAACAATTATATCACATACACTATTTCTTCTCCCCCCCCCCCCCCGCCCCCCCGCCCGCCCCCACAACTCACA